ATATTAGGAAGAAATTTTCTACCGTGAGGGTGGCAAGACACTGGCACAGGTTGCCCAGAGAGGTGGTAGATACCCCACACTTGGAGACATTCAAGGCCAGGTTGGACAGTGCTCTGAGCATCCTGATTGAGTTGAAGATGTCCCTGCTCATGGCAAGGGGGTTGGGCTAGATGACCTTTAAATGTCCTTTCCAACCCAAACTATTCTATGATTCTGTGATCTGGAGGGTCACTTTAGCAGGTCAGAGATTTTATTCAGTCTTTTTAGAGATTGCACTGGAGGCTGGTAGACTACACTGTTAGGTAGTAATTTTAGTATCAAGAAAAATGTGCACAGCTAGCCAATTAATAATTCATCTATATACTTTAAATTCTCTATGAAGAGGAAGGAATTGTCATCTTTGGGATTAACCTGTAACCTCAGGAACAGTTAATTGGGCAGGCTGCTCCAGAGCACAGCATCCTGAAAGCTGGTGGTGCATAGGCTGGCAAGAAATTGCTAGCAAGGGCCCTTGAAGTTAGTACTGTCAAGCTTTCTGGACATCAGATATTCCCATTTGGTCAGATGAAGAGGACTTAAGAGCATGGAAGCCTTGACTGAGTTGGAAGAATCAAGTTGGGAATTGCAGGTTTGGGGATATCCAGTCTCCTAACGGTCCATCAGTTTGTCAGTAAATGTGGTCTGACAATGAGGCAGGAACCCTCAAATCCCATTGCATGGCAGTTCCCAATACACTGAGGGGCCAAGCTACTGAGGCTTTTGTTTTGTAGACTTCATGCCACGGAGCTGCAAAGAAAGAAGATGGGCATCTTTGGAGCCTCACATTCCTGGTTGTTGTTATTCTGCTACATAGGCTGAAGCATCTGAAGTCTAGATGCTTGCCTTCTTGGTGGGTTGTTCAGGAGCCCAGCTGGTAAGCAGAGAGGGAACTAGGCACATTGTAAAACCTTTCTGCTGTAATGCTGCCTGGTTTCATCAAAATCAAATCACCTCTCTCAGGTATTCCAGTCTTGGTGAGCTGTCAGTCCCTGATTGAGAAGTGTCCTGCCTGGAACCTGATTCCAAGATGCTAGCTCATAACCGTAGCACAGATATAAATATTTCATGATAAAGTACAGGAAACATACTTCCTATTTGGATGCAAATTTCCTTCTTAACATAGACATCCTGGAGTATTCTGGTATAGAGCTTTCAAGGCCATAACTGATCTGTAGTGTAGATTTGAAAGAAGTGTCAATATTTTTATATTCTGACATATATTTGAATATATCTGGCTCGGGCTGATAAGAAGGTACGTTTGAGGGCAGGGAGGAGATCTGCAGTAGATAGTTGCTTGTGACTATGCAACACAAAAATAGTGTGCATTTATTTTCCTGGTATATTGTGTTCTAATTTATGTATATCACTATGAACATATATGTAAGAATATGTGCTCAATATCAAATTGCTTAAATATTTTTGTTTAGTAAATAGTAGTGGGGTTAGAGTGAGGAAGAGCATAAGCCTGAAACTACTATATATTTTGTTTCCATTTTTTGAGAGAGAAATTTAGAGTAAACAGACTCAGCACATGGTTTTTTGGGTGCTTTTCAATTGCTTCTTTAAAAAAAATAATCTTCCTTTCTTACTACATGCTGCATCTTCAGTGCAATCTTTAGACTAACTTAGATCATTAGTCAATACAGTTTTCTTTATTGTGTTATGAAACAGTTATGTATATGTTGGAATTTTGGAGGAAAAAAACCATCAATCTTGATCTTGGAAAAAGCGATTACTGTCTACCCCATCAATGTCAACATAAAATTTTTATATCAGTGATAAAAAGGGGCACAGAAGAGTGCTAGATGGTCTGAACAGCAACCGCTTACCCTAAGTCTGCTGGGAGTTAGATTTGAAAGGGCTTTAAGTGTCTTGTATGTTGAATTTCTGGGTTTCCTCTGACATAAATTGGTCTTGTCTCTAAAACCGGAAGTCAAAGCCTGATTGTGTGAACTCACTATATCGCTAATGGCAGAAAATCCTAACCCAAAGGTAAAGGGGTTTTAAATATTTGTTATTTAACTTTTCAACCTGAAAGACAAGCTTCAGAAAAGCTGTGGAAAACAATAATTTTAAATTATTTAAACTGTTAAGAGTAACTATAACCTCTGACATTTGGCATGACATGAAATCCAGCAGCCTTTTTTATGTTGAATGCCAGTTGGAAGACACAATTGTGCATACCCAATAAAACCCAAGGAGCAGCTGAGTTAACAGGCAGACACTGGAATCAATAACCAAATTTCTCGAGTTTTTTCTGGACGGCTGGATGGGGAGGGAGGAATAAATAAGATACCTTCTGCTTCCCAATTGACTGATTACTGATACCCAACGCCATATGAGGAGTTATTCGTAGAGTGAGCCCAGTAGGACAGAACAGACAATGCACGGTTCAGTTCTGTCATTCATCTCATGCATCAACTTTTGTGAGGACATTGAGGGAAATGATGAGGCGTCCAGTCCCCATCCTGTCCTCTGCTGGCAACACTATGAAGATGACAGTCATTGCTGCATCTCATTGTCATTCCTCTGCATTCCTGTGTCCTGCTGATTTTCTGGCTGGTGTTGGGTATTTGACAGTATTTCTGCTTGAAGTAAAACTTAAGAAGAGCAAATCTAGAGAAACCTTGAATCATGAACTTTTCCAAAGAGAACTGTTGCCTAAAGACCACTTTAGTATGTTAAATTTTGCACGTGGTGTTCACATTGAATATAATTTGCATATGCTGCACTTGATAGCATGGAGTATTTGGAAATGTCTGCTTTCTGTGCCAGGCTGCCATGCTGGCTGCACTAACACCCTGCGTCTTTTTAGAAATTCATGTTGTTAAAATGTACTTTGACATACAATATAATTTGAATGGAAGATGCCCTACAATTTGAAAATCATATCTCAGCATCCTATTTGATATCATAGGAATCTTTTCACTAGAAGGTGGTGTATTTTTTTAGTTATTTTTGATATTATTATTACATACGTAAACACACTTGTGATTTATAAAAATATTTTTATTCATCTGCAGTCTTCTGTTCCTGACCACTCTTTTGGTTGCTGCCCATTGCTGTCCTGATACTGATTAACAAAATGTAACTAAGTTTTGCTAATGTAATAGTGGAATTGTGCTTTCCTTTCAAAATTGATAATTGCAGAGGTGTTATTTCCTTGTTTATCATTGCAAGAGAAGAAATGTTTACTGCAGTTAGATGATTGACTTCTACCTGAATGTTTTGTTTCATCTCTATTGTATAAATGTTTTCTGCAGTTTATATCTCTATTTAAAGAGCTGATGTAATGCGGCTCTCCTAATATAAAAAAGTTAAAAGCTGTTCAAACCTGAATTTGACCCATCAGTTAAGTAAAAGGAAGGTGTACTTAAAATAGATTTATTTTCTAAAAAGTAGGCAACATGGAAATTCTGCAGTAATTTGACAATTTAGAAAGCACACAATAACAAAGAGCGCAAATTTCTGGAACTTGGGAGAAGTAGGAAAATGCAAATGAATACATTGTTTTTAACACTTTCCCAGCCCTCTTTTTTGCCCTATGAATTGACTTTATTATAACTCTTTAAGAAACATCATGGTAAGAAAAGTTTGAATGACTAGATTTTAAGCATGTACTTTCAGGCTTTTTAAATCCATGTAATCTACTTTACTGATTTAGTTTCTTGGGACTTTGTTATACAGTTACTTTTACTTTTTCTTACAATGGTATAACAGTTTAAGCAGATTATTTCTTCATTCACTAAGTCATTGTTATGATACAGATACACACTCAGAAAGGATTAATTCTGTGGTTTTGTTATTACAGGGGTATGTGTTGAAGCTATTTTGGTCACCTTAATTATACATTTCTAGATGTTACATTTCAAAGTTTAATTTTAATTTCAAATTTCCAGCCTTACTCCACGTTTTACAGTTTTTCATTCTCCTATTTTTAACTCCTAAAGTTATCCCTTAGAATATATCAGGGGCTTTACTGATGAGAATGTATGTATCTCTGAATGAGATGGCTTCCAGGGAAGATAAACACCTGGGTAGTTTAACCACAGTAGCGATGGTCTTGACCATTTGCAAGATCTGGGGAAGCTTGTGGCAGAAGTTTTCAGATAACTTGCATTGCATGAAGGGTTTTGGAATACCTTCGTAGCTCGTGTGCCCAAATCCCACTCAGTTTGTTCTTAGGCGCAGGTTTTAGACTGACATTTGAGTGGAGTATCTGTAGGGCGCTTGGCATCTAGGCTCCCAGTAGTCAGTGGAGATGTGGTCAGTGCAACCAGTGGAGTCTAGAGAACAGTTTTACTATCTAGTCACTTGAATAGCTTGCAAGATTGCATTGAGGAGACTTTGCCTAAATATAAGCATCTCTTGCTCTTTGAGACTATGAAGGAAGTCAGAGATATCTGTACAGATCTGGCAAGTGTGATGCACAGGAGTAATCTGTGAGAGCACTGCATACTCCGCAGTGGCAGGTGAAGGGCAGGCAGGATATTTTGGGGCACTACATGCCTGTACATGAATTGGCTCCATTGACATACTGACTCTGTCCATCAAATGTAATGGGAACTCAGGCGCCAAGTTCCCACATGGAGATGCATGGTATCGTGATCTTTGACTCTCACATCAGTATGTGCCCAAATCCTAGCTTGGTTATTAGGTATGATGTATGATTCTTTCTTTTCAACCCCAATCCATCTTTTTTTAATTAAAATTCATTCCATGAGTGAATTCTCCTACAGCCTGATCAGATGTCACTGGGAGATTTGCAACTGGGCCACCAAAACGTGTTACAGAAGAAGGTGAAAGCAATCTGTATTAGTTTTGGGGAAGTTTCTATTATCTTGTCTCCAACACTGACATCTTGACTATGTGCATCCCAAGATTGATTAGGAGATGCTGTTGGTTTTGACATGTACAAATTAATAAAGTGTTGCTTGAGTATGTATTTCTTTCTCTTTCAGTTATTGTAATGGATGTATGTTAGATCCAGACTGTGGTCTCTGCTACAAATTGAATAAATCAAGTGTTGTTGAGTCTTCGTGCATTCCTGTTGATAAAGATTCCACAATGAAAGCAGCGTGGGGCAGGTATGTCACTTTTCAAGATTTTCTGGTCTTGTGCTCTACCAATGGTGTATTTTATGCTGTTGATAACACTTTTGCTTTTACAGAAAGTGTTACTCTTAAGATGTTCTGGAAGACAGAAATAACTTGGCGTTGTCAAAAATGGGCAATTACATTCTAACAACTGTTCTAAATAAAAGCCTTGACCCTGATGTGTGCTGCCAGTATGGTGTAGTCTGCCACTTAGAAAGTATGGCAAAAGTATATTAGTAATTAGGAAAATTAGTTTTCCCCGATGTCTTCATTTGAGGGGCATATTCCCTAGATATACACTTAAAGCCCTCTGAATTAATTTTCTTTTTAAATCCTTTAATTAAACCACCCTTCTAATACTGGCCTACTAAAGAAACCGGGTTGCTTAGCTGAATAATCTAAAATGATAAAAATCATCAAAAGTTCAGATTGTCAAAAGCATGGCTTGTGGCCACAGATTTCTGTGTTCCTCTGCTTCAAAGCGGCATCGTGCCATATGTTGCACTTGGGGTGTAAAAAAGCGTGGATTCACAGAAAAGTCCCAATGCAACTGCAAAATACGTCACACATCTTTTTCTTAAGTAGCACGAAGATTCCCTGTGAAGTCAGAGCAATCTTCCAAGTTTTCTTAAGTCTTTACTATTCTTAAGGAATGGTTTTATGAGTTGGGACAATGTACTGTAAGGGTTTTATCAATACTTTAATAATGATTAGGGCTTGGATTAGAGTTTAGAATGGTTCAGTGCCACAAGGGAATTATATAATTACTGCTGATAAAATGTGTAATTACTGCTGATAACACTTCCTTGCCATAAGTCATCTATGCCACCCACACGCCATAAACTTACTTGGGAAATACGCAAAGGTTCATGTGGTGGTTTGGGCTTTTTTATTATTATTTTTAACTTTCATATGTATTTCTCAGAAGTTAAAACCAAGTGCCTTAGTGGCAGTGAGTCATATAGGATAGAGGTTGGAAGATATGAAAATATCTACTAATTTTAGAATCATTATTTAAAAGGACTCTAAAACTGCCCTCCTTTTGATTTCAGTACTCTTAGAATGTTATGCCTAGCAGTTCATTCCAGATGCAGAAGAGGGTAATTTATATTCTTTGTAATCCTAATCTAAAAGCACTGTGATCATTTTAGAGCTATTACTGTTTATTGATGAGTAACAGTGAAAACTGCAGAATCTCATCCCTCTTGCTTGTTCTGCGACTACCTTCAATGGCGCATTATTCAACATACCTTGCATGCTACCTAATATCCTTGTGTGCTCACCAGCACTTGGATTCTCATATTTGTAAGGTAACCGATCTCTGTATTCCAAATTAACATTCATTTCATATATGCTGTAGTTTTAAGTAGCATGTCTGTAGTTAGCAAAATCATACTAGCACGCAGGAGGACATAAATGCAAACATAAACTTGTTACGAATAGTTGGTAGATAAAATCAGACTATTTATTAGGCAGTGTTATGGTATAACGTAGTAAATGTGGACATCAGTAATCCTTTTATATTCATGATTCCTTCTCACATAGCGCTCCTTGCTGTACAGCCTGTTGGAGAAAATTAGATAGGAAAGAAGAAGTATTTCCTTTCTGCATTGCAAAATACAATATATCCATATTGTACAATAATTCCGTAGCATAAGGACTCTGTTCAAAGTCTTTCAAGAGAAAATGGAACAATTTTAAATTTGTTATATTGGTAGTCACTAGAGTGAAAGTCCTGCCTTAGGAAGGAAAACCAATGAAATATGCACATTTCTTTTTCCAAAGATTGTATGTTCATCCCCATTTCTAGTGTTTATTTCATTAATTTCTAATCTTGCCTCCACCTGGTCTGTGTAATCAGGCAGTTTTCTAAAAGCCAGTCCTTCATGCTGTGAAATGTCAGGTGGCACCTTCTGTGCCTTCTGAGCCCCGTGGAACAGGCAAGCGTTTCTCCTCCTCCTCCTCCTCCTCCTCCTCCTCCTCCTCACAGATGCCTGTCTTTCTGCATACTGGTCCGGAGGGAATCCCCATAGATTTAGGCTTCCAAGGGGTTCACCTTGATGTACCCTCCCCCCTCCCATCACTCCTTCCTCAAATCCTGAGTCTGCTTTCAGCAGAATCAGTCCCACAAAGCCGCAGGATTTCCTCTGCAAGTGAGAAGATGCTGCAGTGGAAACAGCGTAGTTACATCCCCAGTTGTGTCTCAGAACATTTGTATTGTTCTGGCAGCACAGGGAGAACCGGTGCCTCAGACAAACTGACAGCACTGGGGAAGAAATTATGTATATGCTGATGCTTGAAATTGCATCTCTTTGTTTCACAAAGTTACTTTGCCACATGCTGGATGTACAGTGGCAGTTATTTTAAAAATACACAGCATTTTTATGATCAGAAGCTGGTTCAACAATTTGAAAGATGATTTTGTGATCTACGGACATCTGATAACCGTAATTACCACATGCAGTTTCTTTGTAATGCCTGCGTATTCCGATGGCTTCATGGAATCCAATATTGGCTGAATGGGTTTAAATGGCTTAAAACCTCCAGAGTTACACTGACCTCATATGGCCAACTTATTTTGCCATTATTTTTGCTCAGGAGAGAAGGAAGACCTGAGCTATTTGTTTGGGATTCGTTGGACCTCAGTTTGCCTGAGTGTCAGCAAAAGCAGCAGCTCTGGCTACCTTGCCTGATGCAGGAGGTTCAGAGGAACAGCTTCTGCTCGGCTCGGATTGACGATGCGATGCAGAGCATTTCACTGCTGCTGCGACCGCATTTTGTTTATGGTTTTCCTGCTGGAAAGCTGGGAGCTGCAGCCATGGAGAGTTGCCTACAGTCACATCACACGATGTGTGCACAGCCACCGAGCTCTGCAGCCATCTTAACCCCAACTGTCCCCAACTCGCACAGGGGCTTATCTACTCCTGATGTGTAACCTACCAGTGAGGTGAGAGGTGCTTAGAGGCACCAACAGAGAAGGCCTTGTCATATTTTTTTTAAAGCTTTCTGCAGCCACACAAGCTGACATAGAAACCCTCCTGTTTATATATTTATAGCTTTGCACTGTTCTTCACAGTCGATCCCAAGGTGCTTCAATAACACTGATGTAACAGGCAATGTTTTGATTGTTAACATAAAATACTGTAATGTATTTTTGTTTGTGAGAAGTTTCCCCAGTGCCAGCCTGGTGTACGAGACACCATCTCTATGTTTATTGTTAATCGTATTTATTCAGTTACGGTACGTTCTACACTGAGAAGTTCTGGGGAGGGGAGGGGAGAAAGCAGAGATTTCAGTCTCCTGTGGCTGCCAGCAAGGCTGTTTATGTTGCTGTGGTTGCCATAGAAACCTAGGGAGACAATTAGAGCATCCAAATGTTTTTCAAGGAGAATATAGCATTTTGGTTCTTCTGTATATAGGGAACTCTATGGCCAGCAGTGGCCCCGGGGGGAGAGACCACGTAAGAATCAATCTGACCAAATCCAAGCCAGGCCATGAAGCAGCATTGTTAATGCGCAATGGGTACACTTGTAAGATCATAAATGTAAGACAAAGAATAGAGATTTATTTAATTTTTTATTTAATCAGTTACATAAGCCTGACTCTGGTATTGGAATAGCACAGCGAGGAGCATCCTGCCCGGGGCACCAGCACCATCAGGTGCTTTGCTGCCCTTGGTATTGCTGAAACAATTGTCAACAAAAACAACAGTTGACATGCAAACCTTGCTGCCTCCAGCTCTGCCCAGGGACATTTAACGGATGGTTTCAAGACAGTGAGCAAGAATATTCTTAAATTATTCACTTTCCAATAAAAGAAGAAGAGCTGTGTCTTCTCTCTCAGTGTGGTCTGAGGGTTCTGTGTTGGGACTGTTCTCCAAGACTTAAGGAAGTTTTGCATTTGGCCGTAGCAGAGAAAGGCTTGCAGTTCTGTTCTCTTCATGAACATTGAATTATAAAATCCCCACGAAGCTGATAAAAAGCATTATCTCACTTTTACAGATGGGGATGCAATGGGAAAGTTCTGATATAAAACTCAGGTGGCACGACAGAGGCCACGGGCAGCATCCGTCTCTCAGCCAGGACTGACTGTGGAGGTGATTGCTTTCAGTTCCGTGCTTTCAGAGCACAAACCGAAACCTAATTTTTCCCCACAATCGCAATTACTCCCACAGTACTCTTGGAAACCTTGAAACTTCTGTCCGTGTAATTGCAGTAACCCTAAAGGCCAGCCAAGAATGCTCTAGAAGTAACTTTAAATTGCATTAATATTCTTACAGTTGAAAGAATAACCACACAAGAAAGGAGCTACTAGTAGTGCCTTGACATGACATTAACCTTGACACGAGTATGTTGTCAAGACCACAGCAGGCCCACAACTGCGAGCTAAAAGGCGCTTATGAGTGACTCTGAGCAATCTCCCTCTGGAGGGAAAGATGTTGACTTTATACAGTAAATAATTATGAAGAAATAATAACATCATCTGCAGATCAGAGGCAAGCCTAGAAGCCATCCTGTCCACAAAATTAGCTGGCAGGTCTCCACAGCCGCCGAAGGAGGACAATTGGGAGCAGAAATCTATAAAGGGAGAGGAGCTGAGTGATTTGCTTTCTTCAGCCATTTTTACTAACTTCATTAAAGGAACATCTTCCTGCTGCGGGAGTTTAATGCTTCATGGAGAATCCTGCTTTCGTCAATATAAAGAAGCATTCTCTTCTCTAAGAGCATTCATTGCAAAGGCAAGTCCAAGAAGAGCTCTGCGTTTGGGAAGCATTTCCCTCTGACCAGTGCTCTCCTGAGCTCCTTCCTTCCGTGTAAAATTCATGGCGTCTTTTCGGATGCTCGGTAGTGCTGTTATGTGTCACTGTGCCTGTTGCTTGTATCCATCAGTTTGCTGAGAAGTTTAACTGTATCTCAGAAACCTGTTCCGGGGAAAATTTGGTTTAAATTACCCAGGCAATGTGAGGAAGCCGGTCAGGCGGGCAGTCAAAT